TTTCATATTTTATTTTCCTTTTTTCCTCCAAGCAACGCATGATTGAGCCACACCACATGGGTCCTAGGTATCCAGTGGGTCCAGATCCAAACCAGCAGCAGCACTCGTACATGGGTCCGACTCATGGCCCATGCTTAGGACCACGTCCCATGACCCTACAGCCTGGAGCTCCTCCTGAAGCCAGCATCTACCCATCCCACCACCGTCCAGAGGGCCACACTGTGCATCCTATGGGGAACAGGTTCTCAGGCCCGGAAGTATCACCTCAGCACAACTACCCAGGCTTGAGACCTGCTGGCATGCCACTACCTACTATGTGGAGTGGTATGAATCAACAGGGGCAGGAGAGGCCCAGCGGCATGTCTATTCAAGACCCAAACATGGTGAACCAGCGCAACTTTAGTTACGGTGGAATCCCCCCACCTGTGGGTCATAAACCGTGGCCAGAAGCTGCCGGATATCCCAACCATCCTTCCAACGCCCAGTTTCAAATGACTGCAGCAGCCAGCTCCCCTGGGCTCATGTCTGCACGTCCCACTGCGCCCCACTCAGACTCCTCCGGCAGGACACGCTTGGCTTCCATGCTGGAAAGCCCAGAGATGCTGGCCCTGCAGCAGCTGTCAGCGTCTTCTGGACCCCCTGCTGGTGCCCCTCATCAGCACACAGGCAACTTTCAGCAGCCTGGGCCCCCATCAAGAATTGGCAGCATCCCAGCTCACCCCTCTCAACAGCTTCCCCCTGCCCCTGAGGTTCAGCTGCTGCATCCTGCTAGAGACAAAGGCCCAGATAGACAGCCTCCCCAGCAGACAAACTTGCACCCCAAAGGTAGAGCTGACCTTCTCTTGCTGTATTTCACCAGTCTGCGTGATAGAGCACTAGACTAGTGTCTCATTTATTAATCAGCACAGCCCCCATCTTCTGTCAAGTACTTCTTACAATTTGACTTTAATTATTTCTCACAGTAAGCAGCAAATTGAATATTCATCAGTTTGGTTTCATTTTTGCTGATATCTTTCAAAATATAAGAGATTACATGTCATCACTTCAGCCTTTAAATGTTTCTATAACCTAATTGTAAAGAAATGGAACAGAACATTTTTTAAAATTTGATTTGTATTGTGATTCTTTTGGATAAGTTGCATAAAACGGGGACAGCGTGTGTATTGTGCTTCTAGTCATAGTAAAACAGTCTAACCTGCAACATTGTTTCCTCCTGTACGTTACAGGCACGACGTCGGAGACCAAGATGGCTGCCAGCAACATCTCTGAAGAAGCTCCATCACACAAAAACATGTTTCCAGTTAACCAAGAGAGCCCATCCAACCCTAGCCCCACAAGGCAATACTGTGGGCTTGCGGATAAAATGCAGAGCCCCCCAGCCCCAACCTTGGCCAGATCAGAAGAGAATCCTTCTGGATCAGCGGCCGCACAGAGTTCAGCTAAAAGCCAGTTAGATAGTCAGGGACACTCTGCCAGTGAAAGTAATGGTACCATTCCTGTTTCATCCCATCCCAACTCAAGTAACACTGATCCTGCTCTACCCAATCCCCCACAGCACAAACCAAACAGTCCACAGCCAAATGCTCCAAGCCTTGCACTTCTTCCTCAGCACTTCCCACCGCTGGATGTTGCAGCAGCTCAGAATTCCACTCAGCAAATGCCAGACAACTTAAAACTCGCAGAAAGTATAAATCAGGAAGGCAAACCCCAGCAAGCCATTCAAAAACACGAGCAACCCGAGGCGGGCGGCACCTCTCCCGAAAGCCGCCCTCAGAGCTCTCCTCAGCCACTGAACCAGAACACACAGCAACACAATTCTCTGCTAACCTCTCATCACGTCCCCCAGAGCATCTCGCCACACTGCACTACACAAAGCAGTCCCATGCACGGGATGCCGCATGGTGCTACTCAAGGAGCCCAGCCTGGACCCCCACACCCAGCCCCTCTGACCTCTTTGCCACCCAGCCATCCTGCCCCTCTATTACCCTCTCAGCCCAGTCCAGCTGATCTCGGAGATCAAAGGCC